TTTGTAATTATTATATTTAATTTAATTTAATTATTTTATTTTAATTAGATTGGGCTTAAGAGGAGTGTGACCAATGGATGTGGTCTTAGGCTTGAAGGAAGCCTTGTTGGGTTAATTAATAAGGCCTATGGTTATAAATATATTTAAATAATTATCTTTGCATAATTATATATATATATATATATATATATATATATATATATATATTTCCTAGTTGGGACTCACACACACTGCCTCCACTGAGATTCGAACCCCTGACCTCCTTTTAGGAAGAAGGAGTCTTGTACTGCTAGGCTACAGGCTTGTTGGTTATATATATGTGTGTGTGTGTGTGTGTGTGTGTGTGTATAATTTAATTAGTTAAGGATTATCATGAAAGGAAATATACATATATATTATATAATATATGTGTATATATATTATTTAAGATAATTATTATTTCTTTTATTTGGTAGTTCTAGTATGAATAGGATTTAGATTTTAATGTGTATAAATATACACATAAGGCTTTAGAGTAAAAAGTTTACACGAATAAGAGAGGTAAAGAGAGAAGAAGAGAAAGCTGATAAGGAGAAGGCCGGATCTGAAAAAGAGGACGTCAGAATTGGAAGAGACAATCAAAGTTTGAAACGTCGATTTTGTTTCGATAGTTATTTTCTAACTCTGCTCTTAGAACTCGTAAGGATTTAACCTTGAGTATCAATGTTTAGATTAATTTTATTTGATTAAATCATAATTAAATCGGAGTATTAAAAACATGTTTTATTATTATTTTTATTTTTGGAATTGTTAAATTTTAATTATATATATAGGTTGTATATATTTAAAATCAACTATATGCTTGATCTGTGACCCAAGAGGGTTATTTAGGGTTTATAGAATTTATGGGAATTTTTATAATTTTCTAGAATTTTTTGATATTTTTCTGTATTTTTAAGAATTTATTATATTTTATTTTCTTATAATTGTTGAAAAATTATATATAAATATATAAATATATATTATTATATTTATATAGTATTATATATAAATATACACACACTGGTGTCTGTGTGTCTAAATAGGGAATTGATCTAGTGCGGTGCTGCATAGGTAATAGTGTGTACACGCAAATCTTGACCCTTGGATGGTGATGATGAGGGATGGATGATTCAGTGTGGTGCGGTGTATGGGATTTTGGTGTTCATGGTCATCTGGACCATAGAAGTGGTCTGACCAATAAAGAATTGATCTGGTGTAGCTCAGACCATGGAGAGTGGTGCACACTCAGATCTAGACCGTTGATTTGTTCTGGTCAACAAATAAATTATTCGACATGGTCGCACTTATAGTAGCAATTGACCTCAACATATTATTTTTTACTATTTTGTTACTCAAAATTTAAATGATCATAACTCGGTCATCTTAAATCGAAATTAGGTCATTCTTGAGTTCAAATTTAAGAATTTTTCGTCATTTTTCCAATGGTACCAATTTTATTCTCAGATTTCCATCATACTAAGAGATATTTACATTTTAGTGAGATAGTGTTGAAAATTTATTTAAACTGATATGGAGTATTTATGGGAAACCATTTATGACGATATTTAGTAACATTTAATTTGCGTAAATATCATTAATTAATAGTTTGGTGATGGAAGGAGTTATATATATACTTAATTATATATGTATATATATGATTTAATTAATTTATGTTTTGGATGGAAGGAAATATATGTATATATATATATATATATATATATATATATATATAATACTATATATATATTGTATAATATATGGGCATATGTATATATCATTTAAGATAATTAAATTATTATTCTTATTTGATATATTATATTATGCTGGTTATTAAATTAATCATATGCATATAATATACATGAAATTGTTATGTGTGAATTAATTTATTATTAAGTTTAAAGTTAATACATAGTTTAATTGTAGGCATGGATGAGTTATCATAGGTATAAATATATTGCATAAGTATTTGTATAAATAAAGTACATACATAGGAAGCATGGTTAAGTTGTTAATTTAAAAGTATAAATACATATACCTAAAGGAAGCATGGTTGAGTTGCCAATATATAAATAAATATATTTATAATGGCTTGGTTGATTTGCCAAATGTATAAATAAATATACTTGTGGAGATATAGTTGAATTGTCAATATATAAATAAATATATTTATAATGGCATGGTTTATTTGCCAAAGTGTAATTAAATTGCTGTGTGTCAGATGATTAAAATTTCATCTATGGTTATTGAATGTGTAAGTTGGATTAGGATTAGATATTTTTATATTAGAATAATTTAGTATTTAAAGGTTAGTATATTATTTTATATGAATAAAATAATATTGGTGCAGACATGAATGATTTGTCAAAACTTGGATATTGGATATGTGATTTAAATAATTACAATTATTATTATGGATTTGATTAAATATACTATTCCTTTAATTATATTTTATTATTTAAATGGTTTAATAATTGTTTAAGATTGAATTAAGGTTAAAAGAATTTCTCTTTAAAAGAAATTGTGGATTTGTATAGGAATGATTATTAATTTAATTATTGTTTAATGGTTTTAAATTTAATGAACCTATTAATGAATGTGATTAGTGTATTATATATAATTATATATATATATGTGCATCATTGTTTATTAAAGATAAATTTTTTTATAGGATTGGTTTTGGTGAGATATAATTTGTTTATTAGTTTTCAGAGGCCTGGTAGAGAGAGTTTGCTCGTAGGGTTTAATCCGCGATTTGTTTTTCAGGTTATTAGAAGTTTCAAATCTCAAGATTGAAGATTCGCATTTAGAGGACTTATCCATTCTTTCTATTTTATTTAAAAGTAGGATATTATTACTTCAGTATGTATTGATGAATTTCTGGATAGTGGATTTTGGTTAAAGGTCCTTGAGTTATAGGATTCTTGAATTGTAAAATTATTAATGCTTTTATTATTTAATAGATTTTCCTTCAACGAGTTATGAATTATATATATACACACACACACGCACATACACATATATTATTTGTTATGAATTAGAGAGAAGAAAAAAGTGCAATTTGAAACTTGTAACAAAAAGCGTTAAAAAATAAACAATTTTTTTTTGTAAATCCTTTTATAGTAATTAATAAATATTTTTTAACATTAATAAATAAATACTGAAATATTTTGAAATTGGAGGTAGAGTTTGAGTTTTGAAAAGTAAAAAATTATTTTAGGTTTTTATATTAATATTGAAATATTAATATTTTAATTTTTTATTTATAAAGAAATATATATTTTTTTATTTTAATACTGAAATTGGTGGTAGAGTTTGAGTTTTGCAAAGTAATAGTTTTTTTTAGCTAATTTGAATTTTATTAGGTAATTTATAATTTCAATTTTATTAGGTAATATATATATATATATATAGATTTGAATTTTATTCGGTAATTTGTAATTTGAATTTTATTAGATAATTTAAAATTTATATAATTTTAAATTTACAATAGAAGTTCAATTATATTAATTTTTAATTAAATTTTAAAATAGAAATTCAATTATAGTAATCATGCATTAAATTGAAATTGATATAAAAATTTATTATATGGAGTTTGTGAATTTTTGGAAGACCCTAGGTTATATTTTATTTTATTTAAATATATCCTTGTCTAATATGATAGAGTTTATAGAGGAAAAAAATAAGTAATTTGTTGTAGAGTTTTATAAAAATTATTTTATTTTATTTAAATATATCTTTGTCTAATTATATTTTTTTTATATTAAAATACTCATAATAAATAGAAAAATACAGGGGTTATATGTGATAGAGTTATCTTTTTGTATTAATTAATAAATTTTTTTATATTAAAAAATAAATACTAAAATGTAAAAACTCTTTACACTTTTATATTTTATTTATATGTATTATGATATTATTATATATTTTCTTTAAATATATCATTGTCTAATGTGATTGACTTTTATAGAAAATAAAATAGGTAATTTGTGTTAGAGTTTATAGAAATTATGTTATTTTCTTTAAATATATCATTGTCTAATTAGATTTCTTTTTATTAAAAAACTCATAATAAATAGATAAATACATGCTATATACAATAGAGTTTTAAAAGAAAATAAAATGAATAATTTGTGTTAGAGTTTTATACAAACTCTTTAAATATATCATTGTCTGATGTGATAGAGTTTGATTGAAAATAAAATAAGTAATTCGTGATGAAATTTTATAGAAATTATTTATTATCTTTAAATATATAATTGTCTAATTAGATTTTAATTTATTCAAAAACTTATAGGTAATTTGTGGTAGAGTTTTAGAAAATTTATTTTATTTTCTATATCAATTAATAAATATTTTTTAAATTAATAATTTTTGTTTAATTAGGTTTTATTTTATTAAAAAACTCTTAATAAATAAATAGATAAATCTGTAATTTGTGTTAGAGTTTTATATAAACTCTTTTAAAAAATTATTTTATTTTCTTTAAATATATCCTTACCTAACTAGATTTCATTTTATTAAAAAACTCATAATAAAAGGGAATTTGTGTTGAGTTTTAGAGAAATTATTTTATTTTTTCTATCAAATAGTAAAAAAAAGTTATATTAATAATTATTGTCTAATTACCTATATAATTTTAATTGGTAATTTATTTAATGATTTGAAATATCTTGATTGAATTTCAATTAAACAATTATTTATTAAATTTTAATTGATAATTTATTTTATTATTTGGTAAATTATTTTATTAAATAATTAACTATTTTATTTTAATAAATAATTTGTTTGTTTTAATTAATAACTTATATAATTTATTTTAATTTATAACTTATTTTATCATTTGATAAATTCTTTTATTATCTTGTCTATAAATTATTTGGTACACTTTTTTCCTTCTGTATTTCCCTATTTAAACCGCCCATATTTCTCAGCGTTTTTTTAATGACAGCTTGTGTTGCGGAATAATTATCAAGGAGCACTGGTAATGATGGATGGTGCGGGGTGCGAAATTTATTGAAATTATTTTATGTGGGAAATTTGGCGCCCTCCTATTTTCATCACTTTACTATTTGCGCCTAAATTTACCATTTGTTTCCTAACTTTACCAATCTCATCAGACATTACAGCCCCAGGTTTCTCTTCTGCCTCTGCAATCGTCTCCATCTCTAATCTCGTTCTCAACTCTGAAGTTGCTCTCTCTCTTTCTCCCTGTAACTACAAACTACAAAATCTACAAGAATCTGTCAATGTTTTCAGCCTCCCCAATCGCCTCCATCTCTATTCTCGTTCTCAACTCTGAACTTGCCCTTTCTCTCTCTCTCTCTCTCCAACTGCAAGCGACAAATCTACAAGAATCACCAAAACCCATATATTTCAGTTTATCTATCTGTCTGCAAGAATCAAAAGTTCAAAACCCATATCGACATATCATTTCAAGATTGTTCAAAAAATCAAAACCCATATCTTTCCGTTTCCATCGCCCGCTGTTCCAGATTGGGTTCGCCGTTCGCAAGCTTTAGCCGCTGGCCCGCTGTCTCTCAACTCTCAAGCTTGCCCCCGCCCCTCTCTCTCTGCAACTGCTAACTTGTATGTATGGGTTTTGTTTTAATTTTTTTTCTAAATCAACTAATCAAGCTCTGTAATTCTAGTTTTGCAAACTAAATCCTATTTGGTGAAAATTTTTATGATTTTTTTTGTATAATTATTTTTTATTTTTTACAATATGAAGTAACAAAATTTGCATTGCATTGCATTTTGAGGTAATCACCGTAATCTACATTTTATTTCAGCAAAACAAGTATTTTTTGTTAGTTCTATCACTTCTATTTTTTTTTGGTCAATTATGTCAAATATAAGTTCCTGTTCCACCACATGATACAGTGCAGAGCCCTCAGCATGCGATACAATTCCATAATCTGCATTTTCCTTGTTTGTTTGCTTCAGTCCTAGATGGATTCATGTAAAATGTTCATGTTGGGATCAAGTTCTTGTGACGCTTAATTTGTTTTGAGTGAATAACCATTGCTAAGATTTATTGTTATTTCAACTTCTGGTCACTTGAGTGCTCAATTGTTTGATTCAACTTAAATGAGTAACTACTGGATAAAGAAAACATGTGCTTGTTATGTGTTACCATGTATACATGATACTTGTAGTAAAAGGTTTTTATTTAAGGATTTATAAGACTGTTATCTAGACTTATAAACACCCTATCTAATTTTAGGATTTATAAGACTGTTATCTAGGCTTGTAGTAAAAGATTTTTTTTTTAGGATTTATAAGACTGTTATCTAGGCTTATAAACGGCCTATCTAATTTTAAACTTAATGACTTGCAAAATATACGTATACTTGTTACATTTCTTTGTATAGTAATTTAATTATCTTTCCCATGTTCATAATGCTATTGGAACAAAATAGAGAAATGGAAACATGTGACTATGTATAGTGAATTTTCCTTTCCCATGTTCATAATGCTATTGCGACAAGGTAGAAAAATGGAAACATGTAAGTAATTGTATTGATATGTATCTAATTCAGTCTCAAATTAGAATTTTCTCATAGCTTTGGTTTGTAGAATTTCTGAATACCTGAATTGCTTTGGTTTTGGCATTTATCATGAAATTGTGTTCTCTAAATTTTCTTTTTCGTTCTTGTCAGAGACAAAAGATTGGATTTCGTGATAAATGAACTACCTTCAACAGTTTCCTTAAAAAGATTTATTTATTTTTATTATTTTTTTAATTTTTAGAATCAGCTTTCTCTTTTATAAATTTTTCGAGTTTCAGCCTATAGTTGTTAGAATCAGCATTAGTTTAGGGAGTTTTTTTTTTTTTCACTTTACCCTAAATCTTGGTAGGTTACTCTTAATATTCCATTCAATTGATAGTAAATCTTGATTTATGTTCTTTTTACATGAAAAAACAAACAAATAAATAATTTGCATTGCATTTTATTAATTTTATTCAAAAAATGAAGGGATTTGGATAATCTCCGGTCACATTGTTTGTCAACCCACTGGAGCAGATCAGATGCTCCTTTGGGTTCATGTTTGTCTTTCAAATATAGATTATGGTGGAAGTGAATTTTTTTTTTTTTTTCTCCCTTTTTTGAAAAAATGTTGTGAATATGAGCCTTTAGCACCACCCCCCCCCCCCCCCCCCCCCCCCCCCCGGGGAAAATTTCCACTTGTTCTTTGGGTGACAAGTGATAACTTAAGCACTATAATATGTTGGTTTGAGAATATTTTTGGTGTAGATAGTCTCGAATTCAGGATCTTAATTTCGACTACAGTTGCTAGAGAGATCAGAGGTCTCATGCATGTAGTGTAGTGTTCATAATGCCAGGATCAAAGTTGAGGCATTCCTCACAGTTGACTAATCTTCTTCAACTAAGATGTGATTAAATCTCAAAATGAATGATTGTCTTAGTCTCTTGATACCATATTCAGTTGCAACATAAAAAAAAATTTGATTAAATTTTTGTGAACACACTCTTGAGTCTTGACAAAAGGTACCCAAACAGGAAAAAGTAAATTTTATTATACATTCAATGTAAACTCACCAAAGCAGTGTCCCTAATAGCTATATGAAACTTACAGGAGGCAAGTCCTGGTAGTTTCTCAAAGTATTAAGGATCGGCTTTGTTTTCTTCTCCAACTCCTTTCTGATGAGACGAGAAAAGTAATGTAAGAGCATGCTTTATAAGTTTTGTTGTTTAACTTTGAGAATTTCATCCCTAGTGTATTCCTTGGTCAAAAAACTACTAAAAACAGTAAATCTTCCTTACAGAGACTTAAAAGAAGCATTAAATCCATTACCATTAATTTTTTGTGAAATTAATTTTCCGAAGTGTACTCTCTCTCTCTGTAACTACAAACTACAAAATCTAAAGTGCCTAAGGCCGAGCCTTTCCCCCGCGAGGGAAGGGGTGGCGTGGTATTCCACGGGAGAGGTTTTAATCGTTGCGCACATTAGTGCGATAAGTGCAAATTAGCAATATGGGACCCTCCATGACCGCTTTGCTGCTCTGATTTGCAGCCAAAGCGAGGGGATTGCCCTACACTTTTCTTTATCTCTCTCCTCTTTACTTTTCGAAAAAAAAAGCTACAAAATCTACGATAATCAGAAGTTCAAAACTCATATATTTCTCTCAAGTCTCAAGCTTGCCCCCCTCTCTCTCTCCAACTGCTAACTTGTATGTATGGGTTTTGTTTTAAATTTTTTTCTAAATCAACTAATCAAGGTCTGTAATTCTTGTTTTGCAAACTAATTCCTATTTGGTGAAATTTTTTATAATTATTTTTTATATAATTATTTTTTTTTTACAATATAAAGTAACAAAATTTGCATTGCATTGCATTTTGAGGTAATCACTGTAATCTACATTTTATTTCAACAAAACATATATATATATATATATTTTATTTCTATAATTTTTATTTATTTATTTATTTATTTTTATTTTTATATCATATATAAGTTCCAGTTCCAATTCCACCACATGATATAGTGCGGAGCCCCTCCGTATGCGATACAATTCCCTGTCCATGTCAAGGATCTTAAGGTGCAACACTTACAAGATCTGTAATACTAATCTACAAGAGACCTGTAAGTTTTGCATTTATCATGAAATTTTGTTCTTTAAATTTTCTTTTTCTTTCTTGTCAGAGACAAAAGATTGGATATGAACTGTCTTCAATAGTTTCTTGTAAAAAGTTTTTTTTTTTATTTATTTTTTATTTTTAGAATCAGCTCTCTTTTATAATTTTTTCAAGTTTCAGCCTATAGTTGTTAGAATCATTTTGTTTCTCAAGTTGCACGGGTTATAAAATTATTATAACAATACAAGTTCAAGAAAAACAAGGAATTTCAATTTCATTTTTTCCCTATTTCTGATCCTTAATCTGCAAACAGGTGACATTGTAATTGTATATATAGTTAGTTGCTTGAAGAACAGAAAAACGAAATTATTATTTTTCTATCATTGAGACTTTTCATAAACTTTGTAAAATATATATATATATATATATATATATATATAATACCCAGTAGCTGATATATTTGGGAGACAACAATGTATATATTTTCAGGTGCGATTGGTGGAATATTGGTAATCCAAGAACAGGAATACATTGTGATCAGCACACGACAAGTGTAAATTTTTCCTCTAAGTGGTACAATAATGATCCTTATGTGTTAGCAAGTCAAGCAAAGCAAGTGTTTTATATGAAAGATCCAAAATGTGGTGGTCAATGGCATGTTGTACAGAGGGTGGATCCTAGGAGTTTGTATCACATAGAAGAAAAATTATCGGAAGATGAAAGTATAGATATGGATACTAATGAATATGAAGTCGGAGATTCAAGAAATACTAATGTAACCGTCCAAGACGATGATAGAGCTTTTGAATCATTGCATAGAGAAGATGATGACCCAGCATATGTTAATGCAACCATTGTTTGGGCTGAAAATGCAACAGTTAATCATGTATATGAGGATTTCATTAATGATGATGTATGTGAGGATGAAGATGATACATTAAATGATTATTATGATGATGGGGAAGAAGAAGTGTTATTTATTGATGATGACACTAATATAGAGTGATTGATTCAATTTAATCATTCTTTAAAAGTTGAATGTAAGTTATTTAATGCAGTGTAATATTCCTTTTAATTAATTAATGATTGCATGTTATCATAGTCTCATGTCAATTACCTTTTTGCAGTCTCAGGTCACAAAATTTTCCAAATTGGATCAACAATTTTTGGCCTTGCAGACCTCTTCTATGGGTGCTACTTGTTCCACCTAGTAAGTTACATTTATAATTAAAGTTTGGAATTTGTTTTCCCTATCATCTAATTTAGAGTTACTGTTATATTAAGTATTTATATAGAAGAAGACCTTGAGATGCACTGGAATAAAAAGAATTTGGCTAGTAATTCTATCAACATTTTTTAATAACCTAACCTACAATAGAATTAAATTAAATAAGTAATGGATAAATGATATATTCAACTATTTTTTAATAACCTAACCTAGTAACTCAACAACGAGGTTAATAATTCTATAAACATATATATTAGCAATGTGTTAAAATTGGTGCCACTTTACCTCGATCTGGCAGAGAATTAGGGGAGACCAAAAATACTAGGCATGTCTGAAGAATTTGAGTCTCCTATCTGGACTGTCAAGTATTGCAATCGATCTCCCTCATATTTTTTGTTTGGGGGAGTTTTTTTTTTCTTTTCAGTAGCACCTTTGTTGCCAAAGCCAACGCTAGAAACCAAAATCCAACAAAGCAAGACATGAACTAAGCTCGTAAAACCCGTACTTATCATCAATGGCTTTACGCTATTTTGAGTCTACAAGAACCTGAGTTGGCACTAGAGGATTCCATAAGGAAAAATGATACGAATCAACCAACGAGCATATATCCTCGTGTGTGTTGAAATCGCCAAGTCTTGTCTATAGCTAGTGAGAATGTATCCTGAATAGGCCCAGAGGACTGATATAGGAATCGTAGTAGCACAACCATAAGCATAGCTCTTTGCATGTAAATGCCGAGCATATGATATTGCTTTGCTCCGTAGGCTTGTCCACATAACATTTTTAATCCGCTTCCCATTCCCATGTAATTCAAATGAAATTTTGAGATGTTGGGGCCTATACTTGTACAAAACAGGATTTTGTTTTTTAAACACATCAGTAACATATTACTTTCACTGGGAGAGATATGTTGAATGTAGAAAATTTCAATGTAGAAAATAAAACAAAGCTATATAAGAAAATATTCTTACTTGAACTAGGAACATAAAAATAAAAATTCTTACTTGAACTAATGAAAAATTATCAATAATTGAAGTTTACATCAACTATAAAAGATCTAATTAAATGTTCTGTAAATGAGTATGTCCAGCAACACATCCAAACTAAAAAGGAGAGAAAAAAAAAATGAATATATGAAATATATTGACTACTAAGTATAGTATCAATTGAAAGATCTTGAGCAATAACAACCCAAGAAAGCTAAATAATAGCCATTCTAATAAATAAATTTTTTCTCATGGGTAAAGTAAAATTTGTATAGATATAAATAATGGAGTACAATAGAAGTCAAGGTCAATGGACAAAACAACATTGACCACTTAAAAAAGAGACTACATGCCCCTAGAGCATACCAAAACAAAGTAGCAAAGCAAAATACCAACAATAAATGACCACAAACATTGAAGCAGCAACACCAACAAATAATACATGTAGACAACAAAGATAGCTAGTAACTACCTAGGAGGCACTAAAGGACCTGCCTGAAGCACCAACAAAAACAACCCCAACAAATCAGTAATAGAAGCCCACAAAACAGCTAGCATCTTTCCAAAAAGCAATATATAAACTGTAGCAATATAGAGTGAAGCCAACTGACAAGCAGGACTACCTCTTGCTAGATCAAACCCAAATAAAAAATAAAAATAACAGAGCACAGAAAATTAAAGACACTGCATCATAATCACAACTACACCAGGACGCACAGACCAATATCGTCTATCCCCGCTCCCATTTAAATTGCCCCACTGCCCAGTTTATTTAATTTTTTTAGTAAGCTAACATTATATGTTGATGTGAATAATATTTACAAGTGTTAGAATTTAGGCAAAAGCAACCCAAACAAAAACTACTAACCAAATCCTACCCAAGTACAAGACATCCATGAACTTAAGATGTTTGAAAAACCTATAAGAAAACTTGATGATAAATCTTAATAATGCATATGTATGTGTGTGTGTGTGTGTGTGTATATTTATATATATATAACCTCAATTTCTACATCAGATTCATATTCTTTCAATCCAACCTCAATTTTAGCATCAGATCTTATTCTCACAATCTAACTCACAACATCAAAACTAAAGAGAAGTATAAACTCAAAATAAAACTCAACAATGAGGGATGAAGTTGAAGAACTCATTGAAGACCTTTGTCTGCCTGGTGCACTTTCGTGATGGTGTAGATTAGGGATGAAATTGTCTTGTACTTGTCAATTTTAAATCTTCATGATAAAAAAATCTACGAAGATTAAACTTAATGTACCGGAAATAGTCGGAAGATCAAAACAAAATCAAATATGATCTGATGAAATTGCAAAATAAAATTATGCAATTAATTAAAATAGCACAAATTTATCCATATACACATACATATACATATTTGATATATGATTTGTAGAGAGAATTTTGAATCTCTTACCTCTAAAACTTTGTAGTGCGACAGAAAGTTCATTCAAACCCTAGGTGAGACTGAGAGTGATAAAAAAAGAAAAAGAAAAAAAAAGAATTGCATGTGTATATGGATAATTCCATGGTTAATCTGGTAACTTTTTCGTTTAAGCTAGTAATGTTAATCATAATTTAGTTTTTTTGCTGTACATATTGTGGGATAACAATAATGATATTACTTAGAAAAAGGCAATGAAACATAGTAATTGTACTTTGCATCACAGATGATCACATATAGTTCCATTCCTGACTGAAACATGCTGAAAAGAGATATATTATAGTTTACATATTAGACAACTTGTTAAAAGACTTGGCAACAAATCTTCCTCAACTTACCAATTCAAACATTTGCAATCCTCCCCACTACATTTTGCTAAACATTAGAAGAGTGACATTACATGTAACAAATTAGTTATGAAAGTCATATTTTATTTTATTTTAACTAAAATGTTCTTGAATCAATTTGTGATCCATATAAAATCAGATTAATGCTTTATTTAAAGTTAAAATATAAAGTAATTTATTAATTTTCTTTTGTTTCCAAAAATTAATAGTTTTGTTGGGTCTATGTGTGAGAAAAAGAGTCTTCCTGGCTAGTGTGATTAGTTATCTTTATTGCATGTGAACAAACCATTTGAATTAGGTCTTTCTTATGTGTGCATTCATTTCAACACCTCTGTTACAACCACAATAAATTAATACCCTAAAGCAATGGCTTGGAGAACATTATCAATTAGTTGACAATTAGAATTTTTTTTGAAAGATTTCCATATATTAAAGGGAAAATTACTATCAAGTCAAGCAACTTTTTTTTAAGTGATTTACCAATTTATAAGCATATAGGAGCACTCAAACAGCTTAGGTTCATCACTCACAAGAAAGTTCATTCCATGGGATATATTAATGGGATCAATCTTGCAGGCATGGTTATTAATTCTAAATATAAATCAACAAAATTAATATAAAATTAGCTTCATCGTTGACCAAATATAAATCAACCAAAAAAAAAAAAAAAAAACAAACAAACAAACAAAAGGAAAGTAATTATATATCTTACCTGTACAGTAGATTGATTCCAGTGAATTTGTGAAAATTTGAAAATCTTCAAAGAAAAAAAAAATGCTATAAGGAATAATAAGGCTAAAAACTCATAAAGATATTGTCTTCATCCAACTAATTATTTCAACATCCAAAAATAATGGAAGGAAATTCATGGAGCATATTCCTGATTCAAAGAAATGATCACCCAATGGTTGAATGGAAAAATAGTGGAACACTTGATTGTTTCCCAATGTGGACCTCACTAAGCTTTTTGTCAATGCATGAATGATTTAGAACTTTTATGACCTTAGAGATGGATTCTAGAAGAAATTAGAGTTGTTGAATTTGTATATAGTGGCTGATTGTAATAGTGAGTGTTGACATTGAGTCAGTGGGCTTACGGTGTAGAATTTTTTTTTCCACAAGGCATAGGAAGGGAATGATGTTAATTTAAATTTAATTTTGGCTCAACATTGACAATGCAACAAATAGGTCGTTATAATTAAAAATGTAGGTTTTTTTTTTTTTTTTTAAAAAAAAATTCAATAGGCAATTAAGTGCAAGCCGTAGATATAATATGTAATGACTTCCTCAAAACATGAGGCTTAAATTAGTACTTAACAAGGTTTATTTTTTATGCATGTCATTAATTGCAGATTGTAAAAATCCTATTTTCTTATAGTGTATTCTCACCAGGATATCAAGTTCTCTAAAATAATCTTTAAAATTTTATTTCAGCCTTTAAATTCTAATCTCATTTATTCTTATTCTTATTTTTTTTATTTTTGCAGGTTTCACATTGATTGCAATCTAGCTCCCCTTTTGGATTCAGATTTCTTTTGGGATTTTGATATGTCTATGCGATTAGCATTGTGTAATATGGGATTTATAGCATTTTAATATGTGCTGCAATTATCATTTTAGATGATTTGCACATTTTAATATCTAAATTCTTAATGGAATATGTGTTTTATCTTCTATGTTTGATTATCAAATATATTTATTTGAGTGATATGCTTGGATCTTGGTTTAGACTATTTAGTTTATTAATATTTTAATTTACAGGTTCCAAATTTCAAATAGGTGAAAATAAAATTATATTATTGCATTAGTGGCACGATATATTATTTTGTCACAATATTTAACTTATAGTGACAACATATTTGTCATAACATGATAGATATATTGTGACAAAAGATATATTTTGTCACAATATTTAACCTTATAGTGACTACGTATTTGTCGCAACATAATATATATATTGCGACAACTAATTTTGTCACAATAAAATAACTTATAGTGACAACTAGTTTTGTCACAACATGTCCCTATATATTGTGACAAAATTTTTGTCATAATAAATCTACTTATATCGACAATAATTTTGTCGCAACATATTACATATATTGTGACCAAAACTTTTGTCACAATAAAGTAGCTTATAGTAACAATATTTTTGTCACAACATAGAATGTATATTGTGATAAGGTTTTGTCACAATAAAATAGGTTATAGTGACAATTTTTGTCACAAAAGATTAGTAACAAATAACGACAAATTTCAAAAGTTTGGAGGTTTTAAGGCGACAAATTTTGAATATTTTACGACAAATGTTTTGTCGCAATTTTTATTCATTTTGTGACAAAAAATATTTTGTCACAATATATCTCACCTCTAGCGATAAATCAATATTTGTCACAAAAAACATATTGTGACCGGCTTCTAGCGACAAACCAGTGACAAATTTTTTTTTGTCGCGATAATCTTATCGTGACAAAATATGTACTTTTAGTGACAAATTCGTTTGTCGCCAAAAACCAAATTTGTTGTAGTGATGAAAAGGGGTATGCATTATGTCAATCTCATTATATTGAAAAGATGCTTCTTAAATATAATTATTTGGGAATTAAAGAAGCTAGTACCCCTTATGATTCAAGTATTAAAATGCTTGAAAATTCTGGTAGAGCAATTGTACAGCTTGAGTATGCTAGCGTTATAGGTAGTATGATGTATGCTATGCATTTTACAAGGCCAGATATAGCATTTGTTGTGTGCAAACTTTCTAGGTACACAAGTAATCCTAGTACAGTTCATTGGAAAGCAATTATTAAAATCCTTGGATATCTTAAGGGAACAGTGGACCAAGGACTATTTTACTATGATTTTCCAACAGTACTAGAAGGATACTCCGTTGCTTGTTGGATTACTAGTGAGATTGATAATAAGTCCACGTCTGGATGGATATTTACAATTGGTGGAGGAGCCATTTCTTGGGCATCTAAGAAACAGATGTGCATAACACATTTAATAATGGAATCTGAGTTTATTGCATTAGCGGCAGCTGGAAAGGAAGCAGAATGGTTGAGAAATTTATTATTAGATATAGAGTTGTGGCCACAACCGATGTCATCTATTTCTTTGCACTACGATAATGAGGTAACTATGTCTAGAGCATATAATAAAATATATAATGAAAAGTCTAGACATACCAGTTTGAGACATGAGTATATATATTAGACAATTAATAACTGATGGAGTTATTAACATAATATATATTAAGTCAAGTAATAACTTAGCAGATCCTCTTACTAAGGGACTATCGAGAGATTTGGTAAAAATTACGTCTAGTAGAATGGGGCTAAAACCCCTCTCTTAAAAATCACCAGTAATGGTAACCCGACTTTGTACTAAAATACCACTAATCCAAAGTTTAATGGGTAAAAACAAGTTACTGATATGTGGTTGTATAAGCATTAGAAATATATATATATATATATATATATATATATATAAACTGCCCCTTGCAGGATGTTCAGTGCAGACTGCTATGTCTTGAGGATGAGTTATATACTCTTAAGGAAGTTCAAAAATTTTGAAGTGTCTATAGTAGCAGAGACACATATTAGAACTTCTCCTATATGAATATAAGAAGTGGTGTCGCTTCTAGCAAGGGTTATTAGGGTTTACTCTTGTAAATGTTCATGAAACCAGGATGAGCACAGGGCCATAATAGTGCTAAAGAAATTATGAACATCTCATAGAAACTGGATATAATCATGTGTGTGGTATTTTCGGTTTTAACATTAAGGAGACTTAGTTTAAGCCGCGGCCACCATTGTTCTTCGTTAAAACTTTGAAGTACTTACACTAATTGAAGGTTTTAATCAAGAGATACCTTCTTGTCTACGTGGTGATATTACTGTAATTTTGACTAGTAGTTATATATTACATTATAGTGGGGGACTGTTGAATATATTATAATATATATATATATATATGGAGTGAGAGAAAGGTAGTTAAATGAATGTACCAAAAGTCACGTCTCTTGGGTTTTTACCAACAGTCATGCCTATTGGATTTCTACGAAGAGACATGGCTATTGGATTTCTACAAAGAGACATAACTTTTGTATTGGAACTAACCTCTGCACCAAGAGTCATGTCTGTTGTATACACCCCTACGTACTTTATAAATAGGGGTGACTAATTCAGATCTAATATACAAAAATATAATCCTTACTATATTTTCTCCTACTCTATATTCAGTTATTCTTACAATAGTTTCAATAGAGTGTTTAAGGGAATTCTTCCGTATTGCTAACGGCAGATTCAGGCTTTGTTGTATCCTGGAAGTGTTTTGCTACAGAACCCGTTAGTAAACTCAATTTGAGTGAGGGCAAATAACACTTTAAGAAAAATGAATACACGTCTCTAAGTCTGTATTTGGTGACATTAGTGTGCTTGAGAAGGTCGGGTTATCTCCAACAATTTCTGGATCAATTGTTTTAACAGAACTAGAAAGAACAAGAGACTGTGATTGATCTACCGTTAACACAAACAAAATGTTACATTCCTTACCCAACAAATTCTATGTCAACAATCAAAGTATGATTTGAAAATAAACTTGAGCAACGAAACATTGTTGACAAATATAAAAGTAGTAGCGGGTAAGAATTAGGTTGATGCCTCAAGTCGAACCTCTAGGTAAACAATTTCGTGGAGGGAGGCGTGTGAGTATCAACTAGGAAAATAATAATAATAATAATAATAAATAGCTCCGTAATCACCCATGAAAACCTTGAAGCCATTAAAAATTAAGAAATCAATTGCATGATAATGTGAAGATTTTGACTTTTTAATATAATCAAACCTAAGCAATAAAATTATGTTTTCCGGATGAACTTTGCATGATGCTCATACATCGGATATTGTGCACAACACAAAAACGCACCTCCTTCACGTACATGGTGGCAGCCTGCGGACTACTCGCCGCCGTCGTCGTGGAGAGTGATGTTGAAGACGCTGACATGAGCTGGAATAAGGATTCTGTTGGGGAAGTATTTCAGGCCACGGCGATGAGAGAATGAGCAGATCATGTTAACAGAGCGATTTGGGTTGTTAGAGTTGAAAGGTGTCATTGGCCTGTATAAAAAATTGGGGTTGCTCATCACAGATGCCATGGAGAGGGAGATATAATAGTTATAAGGGTTTCATAGTTAAACCTAGAGAGACGAGGTTTTATATATGAGGGGGAGAGGGGCTGCACTTGTTGGTTGCACCTTGCATGTCAAGTATCGTATGGGATTTATTTTTTATTTATTTATTTTTTTTTTTCAGGCACGCAGACGCACACACCACCTTTCAAAATTAAAACATTTGATTAGACTAAAATTCATCAAATTTATTTCAAGTTTTTAAAATTCTTTTATTTTAGGTCTAGACTCTAATAACATATTAAAATTCTTTTGTAAAACTCTAAATACAAATATTTTAGGTCCCATTTTCTTAAAAACCTAAGATAATTTAATTAACTATTTTTTATTATTATTATTTTTTAAAGGTATCAGAAGTCTTTTCTAAACCCTAAAATTCATATATATTTTAGGTCTAGATTCCTTAGAAACCTAAGACAACGCCAACTTTCATGTTTTCATTAAAACAACTCAAACATTGGAATTTTTAAATTCTTAATTTAATCCACACATGTAAAACCCTAAATTTATAAAATTTTAGGTATAAGGTGCATAATAAATCAAAAATTCAATTTGCAGGTCTAGGTTTCTTAAAAACCCAAAAATCGACCCTTTCAAACTCAAAGCTTTCCAAAAAAAAATTGAACCTACAGATGGGGCCAATTAGGCGTAGGTGTGCTACTGTGTTGTCCTAATTTTCTTCCCTTCATACCCCTGCACTTGGGTAGATGGGGCCTTCTCTCTTTGTTGGTTGGCCTGGTCACACATCTCCCCCCTCAAGGAATTGTTTTGCACACAAGAAAATTGTTCATATAAACAAAAACTATTTCTAAACACAAAATTATTAAATTTTAGATTAAGATTCCACAGTAACCTTAAAAAATAATTCTTCCAGGTCTAGATCTTATAAGTTCATAGAAGTCAATTTTACCTGCTTTAGGTCTCAAAAGCAACTAAGAATTATATTTTGTTTTAAAGACATTAGATTTTTAAACCCTAATTCATATAAAAATTAGGTTTAGGTTCCACGGTAATAATTCAAATTTTCATGCCTACGTCTTGTAAGTTCTTAGATTTTTCAACTTTAGATTTCATAAACACCTCAAACCCACTTCTTAAATATGTTTCAATTCTAAACTCTAATTTATATAAAAATTTGGTTTAGCTCTTCAAATTCAAAGTTTTAAACATTAAAGTACTGTTTTTTTTTTTTTGGGTTGGTTGGTTAATGGTAAGCTTGTATTTAAGAAGGAAGAATGAACATGGGCCCCATGAGGAGAATACAACAAACAAACTGCAACCAATGGCAGCCCAAAAACATAACAACAAAATATATCCATAGGTATCCAAATGCAGCACTGGTGCAGCAAGCCAGAGACATTATACCTTGGAAAAAACCAAGCAATACTAACCCAACAATATTGTACTGAAAGAACCAAACCCTATGAGACTAGCGAAGAGTCTATACATGATGTGGAACAGGCCTGCACAAACATTGCAAGAAGGT